CAATAGATGTATCTTCTTTTATTCGTTTGCAAAACTATGTGAAACATTTTTATTTGTATCCGGCTTGTAAAACTATACTATTTTATTCGATAAACTATGTTATTTGACAATATGTTTGAATGCAAATTAATATAATATTGAGCGGCTAGCCGGCCACGCCGGCACATATGGGTCGGCGCGTTGGGCGCGCTGCCGATCCAAATCTAAAAGAGGGCGGACGGCCGACCCAAACGGATAAAATGCGGACGAAATTGGCGTCCGTTTGGGTCGGCCCGTTGGAGTTGCTCTTAGGTGCGTTAGGGCGTAGTGCGGCGGTGTACTTGGTTTCTCCTGTATTATTGTCCGGTAGTATTCGTGCTCCGGTTATCTTGGGGTCGGCATTAATTGTAGGGGAGCCGCCTCGCCATCTTCTATCGCCCGGCCGTGTACTTTGTTGAATGGTGCTTTATATATAAAACAGGACGGAAGCCTGTTTCGACGAGGAGTATGTAGAGAGAACCCCTCAAAAACAAAAACAAAACTTATCTAGAGAGGGGAAAAAATGCTGCACGCGGTTGTAGTCCATTGACTTTTCACTTCGAAGTTATGCATGCATGCATCCGTAGTTCTTCCATCGGCTTAGCTGGTTTACCTTTATGCTTACGTGCTTTGCTGATAAGAAAATCCAATTGTCCTACATCGTTGACCCTGCTGGCCGTGCTCTCCGGCGCGCCATCAGCTTGCCCAGCATGCTAGCCGCCTAGCCTACAAAAGGGCACCACCCACCGCCGGCGTAACATCAACTGAAACCAGCAACACCCAGACCCCTGCTTAACCAATTAGCTTCGAGATAAGCTCGCAGCCATGGCGCGGTGGCCAGCCGCCGTGGCGGCGTGTGCGCTCGGGGCGGCCCTCCTGGGCATGCTGATGGTCACCGCGGACGGGAGAGGCAGCAACACCAACAGCAAGTTCACGTGCACGGACACGGAGAAGAAGCGGCCGGGGTGCACGGGCACCTGCCCCGACAGGTGCCCCCAGAGCTGCATCTCGCTCTGCCCCTCGTGCCAGACATATTGCCGTACATACTCAGCCGCCATTACTTTCATGATGAACTGCTACTGTTCTTGGCCTAGCTTTTAAGGTGCCTCCTGTGCGTGTAGCTGACCAGGTGCAGCCAGTGCGGCCAGCATTGTTTGTGTTCGGGGACGGGTTTACGGACGTCGGCAACAACAACTACCTAGAGAACAACGAAGTAGGGAACCCTGTCAGAGCCAATCACTCTTACTATGGCATAGATTTCCCCAATTCCGTGGCCACCGGAAGGTTTAGCAATGGATTCAACTTGGCTGACTTCATCGGTATGCTAAGTTGCTAACTTTGATCCCATCACGCTATGCCTATTTTTCATAATTTGCTTACCGTTCAAGACAACTAACATGGCCACTTGTGCACTGCACAATTATCTACTTGTTCTAACATTATTACTCAACCAACAACCATTGTTTGCCAATTCCATTTAATATACTCTTATTTTCTCATGTAGTATAGCCTTAATTTGTTTTACTTTCCCGCAAAAGAAATTGTTTTACTTTACCGACATGGTGGCTAGCAGTTGAAAATCAGTACTCGAAGATATGGGTGTGGCTAGGTGCCTAGGTCTCAGTGGGTGAGATTAACCAAGTCTCAGTCAAGTGACATAATATCAAGAGAGAAAAAGAAAATATTGCATGGATCTTAATGTAAGATCTCACGGATATAGCATCGACTGAGACTTAACGAAGTCTCAGTCAACTGAGACTTAGCAAGACTGGAAAGATATATAGCAGAGTATATAACACCGAATTCTATGTGCTATCAGCTGCCAAGATGTAACTAAAATATGAAATTTAACCAAACAATTACATGGGCATAAAAATTCCATTCCGGTTTGACTACTACTGAATACCATCTTTATTTCAATTTATAAGGCATATAACTTTTCTTGTCTTATTTCATATGATAGGATGTGTGCATGTGAATTTATCGATGTTTCTCCTTGTTCACTAGAATCCTAGCAATCGCATATTCTGCGCTGTTCTATGTATATAAGCATGGCTAGTTTCTATTTTCTTTGTTTTGGTTTCATTAGCATTTTTAAGTTTTATGCCGGCTCAAAACATGCATTACAGTCTGAACTGGATGGAACAGTATATAATTCATGAAAAATCAGGAAGAATATCAATCCTTTTAGAACGAATGGATATATTATCTAAGCTGTTCTGTTTTTGAAAGAATATTGATCAACCGGTGGTGGGTATACCTTTGATTAATATGCAGCAAAGGCTATGGGGTTCGAGATGAGCCCTCCGGCTTATCTGTCTCTTGATAGTCCCATAAAAATGGAGGCTGGTTTTGCTGGAGTCAACTATGCTTCGGCGACCTCTGGGATTTGGAGAGACATCGTAAGTGGACACCTTCATGCATGGACGAGTATTTGAATTTGCATGCATATTATTTCAGGAATGCATGTGCGTTCATCGTCAACATACCTTCAGCTATCATACATCCATAGATATATCAGTACTATGTCCAGGAATATGTAAAAACAAAATAATTGGTATGGATACATTTAGTTCTTAGACATGAACTACAATTAGTCGCATTGATGCTAATACCATTTTGCAGGACACCGGACTGGACATCCCACTGATGGACCAAGTGAAGAACTTGGCGGACACGATAGGGCAGATGGGCGCCAACCGTAGCCAGCAAGACCTGAGCAAGATGTTGTCCAATTCCCTCTTCCTCATCAGCACCGGCACCACTGACCTCTACTCAATCTACAACATCAACAACAATGGGGGCTCAGACAGCAAAACCGATGTCCCACACCTCATCTCCTCCTACGGGGACAGCCTCACGGCCCTGTACAACTTGGGCGCGAGGAAGTTCGGGATCATCAACGTCCCGACCTTGTGCACGGCGGTGGTGCGCCATGGCTGCGAGGGCCTCATTACCAGCCTCCGCGAGGAGTTCAACGACGGCATCAAGCCACTCATGGCCGGCCTCGCCTCCAACCTCAGTGGCCTCCGCTACTCCATCGCCGACTTCCACGCCTTCTCGGATGCAGTCAACACGAATCCGTCGGCCTAGGGTAAAATCTATCAATGTTTTCAGATATTCTTACATGGTCATGAACCTGTCGGTTATATTTATGTGGTTGTTCTGGTTGTTGTGGTTTGTTGATGGATGCACAGGGTTTGTGAACACCGGGGGCGCATGCTGCCAAGGCTCCTGCGCACCTGGTTCTGGGCTGCCGTGTGCCAACCGATCGCAGTACTGGTATTGGGACGAGGAGTACCCGACAGAGCAGGCCGCTAAGCTGGCCGCATCTGCGTTTTTCGACGGCACAACCCAATTCACAACACCGATGAGCTTCAAGACGTTGATCAGCCAAAAGTGACATTTCTTTATGTTTTCGACTTGCCGTATCCAGAAATAAAGCAAGTCATCTGTGTGAGACTTACATTGCCATTTGCCTTTGAGTTCTTTTTTTTTCTAATGTGCCGCTTTGTGTTGCTCGTAGCATTCACTGGCACAGTGGCACGTTGTGTTTTATCACCGTCTATTGATATTTTCTTTTTTGACGAAAAAATAGCGGGAGGGTGGCTGAACGTTGGCGTAGATGGGATTGGGTTTGTGGAAACGGTTCAAGCATTCGCGTAAAGTGTGGGTGCATGTGTTTATTTATTTTCCGACAAAGGGGGTGCATGCGTTTATAAAGATGAGTCTATGTGAGCGTCTATAATATGTTTCTAGAGAAAAGGGGCGACAATTATAGCAGCTCTCTTTACATACGCCCAAGCTGAATTTTGTAGTATCATACTCCATCAGGGCAGATACATAGGGCACGCACATGTTCTTAGGTCATCAATTTGACTAACAAAATAGTATATGTTATATGCCATCAAAATTATATGTTTAGAAATATTATTCGAATATGAATCCAATGATACACTTTTGGTTTTGTGGGAAGAAAATGATAAGCTGTCTGCTGGAGGGGGTACATGGACTACGCAAAAGTACGAGAAACAGCTCAAGTGTGTGCCGGAGCTAGTATAAAGGCACTCTTGGTGCCTGTGTCTATTTGTACCGTTAAGGCCTCACCTCCATACCTCTTTTTTTTGCGGGGGGGCCCACCTCCATACTGTACTGTCTAATGAATCTAACAATGCCATGTATCCACATTTTGTACTGTCTAATAATTCAAAAGATCACATGTAGTGAGATCATTCTAGCTGGTGGTGGTCTGGAGCCCCGGCAGCCATCAGGTTGATCTTGGCAATGGTGCCAGGATGGTGGAAACGCCAAACTGAAGGGAAGAAGAAGAAAAGGCAGGCAGAGGGGTGCGTGCTGGCTCGAGGAACTAACAGGAAACTCGCCGCGCGCATTGATCAGAGCAAAGAGAAAACTAACCAGAGTTGAAGAAGGCCCGACTAGCGACTGCACTCCCAAGCCTCCGTCCACCCTCAGATGTAGCTAATGCGTCGCATACACTGCGGTGTGCCTTCCACCCAACTACCAGAGCATCCTCCGGTCTCATTTGAGGCCGGCACAGCTTCATGTCCATCGTGTCTCTGAATGATCGGCCTCAATGAAACATGGCTGAGGCGAGCGCAAATTGGACAATCTCTGCCTGTCTGAATATATTGTGTGCTCAGTTTTAGTGGATTTGCCAGTCACGAATGGGGCAGTGAACTCTGCATTCCAAGCCCTCACACCAGCCACAGGTGTGCCACGCTTAGATTCCAGACCACACCACTTGCTATTCATACACAAACCGAGTCTGCAAGCATACGAGCTTAAAGCTGTTAAGATGTTCCAGATTGATACTGCCAGGGGTAAACTAACATTGTCCGCAGAGAGCTAAAGAACCCTAGAAGTCGAGCCAACTCGGGCCAACAAGACAAACCTACGCACCCTCAAGACCACCAGAAAGTAGAAACCATCTACACTAACTCGAGTGCTCCATGGAAGAGGCTTCACGGAGTCTTGACAAAGTGCAGGCTCAGAAGCTTGGCAATCTCCAGGAACCCAACACGCTCTCTGCCCGCAAACAGGGCTTTCAGCTTCTCGTCGCACACGATGACCTTCTTGTCCGCAGGGTCCTGGAAAATAGCAGGACAGAATGAGAAGTGCAACTGGAAAATAGCATGTTCCTATGTACATACTTAGTTAAGTCCTTGTATGTTGTTGCAAATCCTACATTTACTGCAAGATTTCACATTTGTGACATCACTTCACACCAAAGAATGAAAAGCTCATACACTTCACACTCAAATAGTTGTATGACGAGTAACTTAATGTGTCTGAAGTTTGAACATAAATACTTCATCAAATCAACCATGCACTCTTCATTCACTAGTCACTACATATATATTCTGCAAGCATACCGCCATTCAGTAATTGCACAATGCAAGCAATCCGGCCACATTGAATCTAGAAATTAACTCTGTTCAGCAAGGATTTCAACGTGTTTACAAATGCCACATGAGAAAAACCTCTGTTTCAGACTTATCATCAGTCAGTTTATCACATTGGAAGCATCACAGCTCCTTCTCATGGGACCATCTTTCGTAGACTCTGCTAAGTGCTAACCGATGTGCAACACATAACAGCAAAATGTGGCATCAAATCATATGTTCTTAACACAAGCAGATAGAAAAAACAAATCAATTTACACTGGGATCAGACAAGAGTGAGAACATTCCACATGCATCAGCAGAAGTACCCAACGCTGCATATCAGCAAGACAGAAACACGACGGGACGTTCTAAGAAGTAGAGTTACTAAAAATGCAAGCGACGTCCTCATTATACACCGGGCTTCTACATCTGGCGGGCATGGACAGTGAGGCGCCTCCAGAGCAAAACGCCAACAACAGTTTACACCTGTCCTGAACGCAAAATCTCAGATTTGCTCCTGCTCGACACTAGCAAAACGCCAAGCGATTCCATCTCATCTTACGCATCCATCCCGACTTCATCTTTCACATCCAAATCAACTAGTACTAGGCCAAACGAACAACCTGGCAACGGGACGCCTAGGGTTTGGGGGGGCTCGCGTGGGGCGTACCTGGAGGTTGTTCTGCTTGATGTAGGCCCAGATGCGCTTCATGGCCTCGGTGCGGGGGACCTCGGCGGCGCCCATGAACGCCTGCAGCGCCGGGGAGACGGGCCGGGGCATCGTGATGCCGGTCGGCGCCGCCCTCTTCTTCTTGGGGGCCGCCGCGGCCGCGGCCGTGGACTTGGCCGCGGCGCGCACGACGACGGCGGCGGCGGGAGCCGCGCGGCGCAGGCGCGCGAAGGAGGCCGTCGGGCGGAGGAGGGCGAGAGGGGAGAAGACGGTGGTGAGCATGGATGCGGCCAACATTTGGGGTTTCCTCTCTTCGGTCGCTTCGGCGTCGGGGTCTCTTTGGATAATGGCTGTGGGGAACAAGGGTTTGGGCTTTTGAGGGTTTAGGGCATCTCCACTTTTATTTTATATTTTAGAGGGGGGTTTAGGGCATCTCCAACGAGCGCCTCTATATCTCGCCAGCTTCCGACTCGCTGAAGGGGCGAGCGAGATGAACCGACCCATGCGTGCGGCAGGTCACAGCCTATTTTGTTTTTTTTCCTGTTTACTCTTTTCGTCTCATATTTATTTTGAACCTTTTTATATTTTAAAAATATTATATATATAATATTTTTTAAATGTTAATCAAGCATTTAATAAATATTGAAAAAGTGTTTGACAAGTGTTATTCGAGCGCTTGAAAAAATTTAAATGTTTATAAAAAGTTTTTTGACAATGTATTGGAAAATTCTTAATTATTTTATTCAAAAATTCTTAATTGTTTTATTTGAAAAATGTCGACCAAGCATTTATTAAAATGTATAAAAAATATTGGTAATGCATTAAAATGTTAATTTTGTATAATGTTAATCCAGAATTTGAAAAATATTTAAAATGTGTATATGAAAAAGGTTGACCATGCATTACAAAAAATGTTTGATTTGTATTGAAAAAATGTTAGATGTGCACTCGGGAAATGTTGTTGACATATACAAAAAAATGTAGAATAATAACCAAAATAACAAAGAAACCCAAAAAATTAAACAAAAGAAAAATGAAAAAAAATGAGAAAAAAGACCGAAAAGGCAGGGATAAAAAAGAGACGAAAGAAAAAAAACTGCTCGACAAAGAGCAGCCACGCCGACCGCCAGGAGGAACGAAGAACTCACCTGATGTGGAGATCCACGAGAACAAACAAACGCAACCTCCCCAAAAAAGATCTAAGACCCGGGGTTCCCCCACCCTCCCATCGCCGGAGCGACCGGCGGAGGGGGAGAGAACCCACGGGCACGCCGACGGCCGCAGTAGGGGAGAAGAGGATCGCCCGGATGCAGCAAAATTGTTTCGCCTCGCACTAGGCTACCCATTTTGGACGCTTGGGCTTGCGTGGAGCGGCAACCTGGCTTGTTAATGACATGGTTTGAAAAGCGAGGTGTCAGGGAAGAAATTAAATTGCTACTCCTTCTGAAAAGTAATATAAGATCTTTAGATCACTACTTTAATAATCTTTTAGAGGGAGTGTGTCAGATGTAAGTGAGGCTTCTTAGCACTAGTCAGCCCAGGCTGTGAACCAAACAAGGCTTTTCCTATGGTAGCTTGACCATGCAATTTCTTCAGGTTAAATTTCCGGGCGTCGTGTCTAGGACACCAACGAAACTGGCCCTAAGAGCATCTCCAGCCATTGAGCCCCCCAGGAGGCATTTTTCGCCTCTTGGGGAGCTGCCGGCAAAAATTTAGGCTTGGGGGTGATAAACTTTCCAGCCGTGTCCACCCCCAAGCCGTGCTCAGGCCTGTTGGGGAACGCAGTAATTTCAAAAAATTTCCTACGCACACGCAAGATCATGGTGATGCATAGCAACGAGAGGGGAGAGTGTTGTCTATGTACCCACGCAGACCGACTGCGGAAGCGTTGACGCAACGTAGAGGAAGTAGTCGTACGTCTTCCCGATCCGACCGATCCAAGCACCGTTACTCCGGCACCTCCGAGTTCTTAGCACACGTACAGCTCGATGACGATCCCCGGGCTCCGATCCAGCAAAGCGTCGGGGAGGAGTTCCGTCAGCACGACGCGCGTGGTGACGATCTTGATGTTCTACTGTCGCAGGGCTTCGCCTAAGCACCGCTACAATATGATCGAGGTGGAATATGGTGGCAGGGGGCACCGCACACGGCTAAGGAACGATCTCAAGGATCAACTTCTGTGTCTAGGGGTGTCCCCTGCCTCCGTATATAAAGGATCCAAGGGGAGGGGCTGGCCGGCCAAGGGGGGCGCGCCAGGAGAGTCCTACTCCCTCTGGGAGTAGGATTGCCCCCCCCCCAATCCTAGTTGGAATAGGACTCCTTGAGGGGGGAAAGAGAGAGAGGGGGGCCGGCCACCTCTCCTAGTCCTAATAGGACTAGGGAAGGGGGGAGGCGCGCGGCCACCTTGGGCTGCCCCTTTCTCCTTTCCATTAAAGCCCACTAAGGCCCATATAGCTCCCGGGGGGTTCCGGTAACCTCCCGGTACTCCGGTAAAATACCGATTTCATCCGGAACACTTCCGTTATCCAAACATAGGCTTCCAATATATCAATCTTTATGTCTCGACCATTTCGAGACTCCTCGTCATGTCCGTGATCACATCCGGGACTTCGAACTAACTTCGGTACATCAAAATGCATAAACTCATAATAACTGTCATCGTAACGTTAAGCGTGCGGACCCTACGGTTTGAGAATAATGCAGACATGACTGAGACACATCTCCGGTCAATAACCAATAGCGGGACCTGGATGCCCATATTGGCTCCTACATATTCTACGAAGATCTTTATCGGTCAGACCGCATAACAACATACGTTGTTCCCTTTGTCATCGGTATGTTACTTGCCCGAGATTCGATCGTCGGTATCCAATACCTAGTTCAATCTCGTTACCGGCAAGTCTCTTTACTCGTTCTGTAATACATCATCTCACAACTAACATATTAGTTGTAATGCTTGCAAGGCTTATGTGATGTGCATTACCGAGAGGGCCCAGAGATACCTCTCCGACAATCGGAGTGACAAATCCTAATCTCGAAATACGCCAACCCAACATCCACCTTTGGAGACACCTGTAGAGCTCCTTTATAATCACCCAGTTACGTTGTGACGTTTGGTAGCACACAAAGCGTTCCTCCGGTAAACGGGAGTTGCATAATCTCATAGTCATAGGAACATGTATAAGTCATGAAGAAAGCAATAGCAACATACTAAACGATCGGGTGCTAAGCTAATGAAATGGGTCATGTCAATCAGATCATTCAACTAATGATGTGACCTCGTTAATCAAATAACAACACCTTGTTCATGATTAGGAAACATAACCATCTTTGATTAACGAGCTAGTCAAGTAGAGGCATACTAGTGACACTAAGTTTGTCTATGTATTCACACATGTATTATGTTTCCGGTTAATACAATTCTAGCATGAATAATAAACATTTATCATGATATAAGGAAATAAATAATAACTTTATTATTGCCTCTAGGGCATATTTCCTTCAGTCTCCCACTTGCACTAGAGTCAATAATCTAGATTACACAATAATGATTCTAACACCCATGGAGCCTTGGTGCTGATCATGTTTTGCTCGTGGAAGAGGCTTAGTCAACGGGTCTGCAATATTCAGATCCGTATGTATCTTGCAAATCTCTATGTCTCCCACCTGGACTAGATCCCGGATAGAATTGAAGCGTCTCTTGATGTGCTTGGTCCTCTTGTGAAATCTGGATTCCTTTGCCAAGGCAATTGCACCAGTATTGTCACAAAAGATTTTCATTGGACCCGATGCACTAGGTATGACACCTAGATCGGATATGAACTCCTTCATCCAGACTCCTTCGTTCGCTGCTTCCGAAGCAGCTATGTACTCCGCTTCACATGTAGATCCCGCTACGACGCTTTGTTTAGAACTGCACCAACTGACAGCTCCACCATTTAATGTAAATACGTATCTGGTTTGCGATTTAGAATCGTCCGGATCAGTGTCAAAGCTTGCATCAACGTAACCTTTTATGGTGAGCTCTTTGTCACCTCCATATACGAGAAACATATCCTTAGACCTTTTCAGGTATTTCAGGATGTTCTTGACCGCTGTCCAGTGATCCACTCCTGGATTACTTTGGTACCTCCCTGCTAAACTTATAGCAAGGCACACATCAGGTATGGTACACAGTATTGCATACATGATAGAGCCTATGGCTGAAGCATAGGGAACATCTTTCATTTTCTCTCTATCTTCTGCAGTGGTCGGGCATTGAGTCTTACTCAACTTCACACCTTGTAACACAGGCAAGAACCCTTTCTTTGCTTGATCCATTTTGAACTTCTTCAAAACTTTGTCAAGGTATGTGCTTTGTGAAAGTCCAATTAAGCATCTTGATCTATCTCTATAGATCTTAATGCCTAATATGTAAGCAGCTTCACCGAGGTCTTTCATTGAAAAACTTTTATTCAAGTATCCCTTTATGCTATCCAGAAATTCTATATCATTTCCAATTAGTAATATGTCATCCACATATAATATCAGAAATGCTACAGAGCTCCCACTCACTTTCTTGTAAATACATGCTTCTCCAAAAGTCTGTATAAAACCAAATGCTTTGATCACACTATCAAAGCGTTTATTCCAACTCCGAGAGGCTTGCACCAGTCCATAAATGGATCGCTGGAGCTTGCACACTTTGTTAGCTCCCTTTGGATCGACAAAACCTTCTGGTTGCATCACATACAACTCTTCTTCCAGAAATCCATTCAGGAATGCAGTTTTGACATCCATCTGCCAAATTTCATAATCATAAAATGCGGCAATTGCTAACATGATTCGGACAGACTTAAGCATCGCTACAGATGAGAAGGTCTCATCGTAGTCAATCCCTTGAACTTGTCGAAAACCTTTTGCGACAAGTCGAGCTTTGTAGACAGTAACATTACCATCAGCGTCAGTCTTCTTCTTGAAGATCCATTTATTCTCAATTGCTTGCCGATCATCGGGCAAGTTAACCAAAGTCCATACTTTGTTCTCATGCATGGATCCCATCTCAGATTTCATGGCTTCAAGCCACTTTGCGGAATCTGGGCTCACCATCGCTTCTTCATAGTTCATAAGTTCATCATGATCTAGTAGCATGATTTCCAGAACAGGATTACCGTACCACTCTGGTGCGGATCTCGCTCTGGTTGATCTACGAGGTTCAGTAGTATCTTGTCCTGAAGGTTCATGATCATCATCATTAGCTTCCTCACTAATTGGTATAGGTGTCGCAGAAACAGTTTTCTGTGATGTACTACTTTCCA